ATCCATCCATCCATCCATCCATCCATCCATCCATCCACCAACATATCCGTCCGTCCGTCTATCCACATATCTGTCTGTCTGTCTGTCTGTCTGTCTTTCTGAATCCTAGTAATCTAGAAGTATTGCATCATAAATATTTATTGTTACTTTATTACAATATTATATCATACCCTGTAAAATTGTATTTAGAATATTTTTACTAGCTTTTATTCACGTTTATATTAATTTCATATACAATGCTATTATTTAGATTGCTAATTTTTAAATATATTTTATCAAGTACCTGTCAAAATAAATATGTAGTTTAATTTGTACATAAATCCACGTCACCCTGAACGACAATAATGATTATTAATTCATCCATATTTTGACATTTTATATTATTTGAAGCATTTTATAAGTAATTAGCTTTTAGATTTAATATGCTTCTGTGTATGTGAATCATCATTTTTAGGTAGAATTTTTGACCCACATGCATGAGTTTTTTGTCATCTTTGTTAATAATGATGAGTAATGTAGATAATGATCATTGTTAGTTGTCATGAATATCAACAAGCATGAATTATGATGCTTAATTTACCTGTTGTTTTTTTTTGGCTCTGATTCGCAGGTGCGTCAGCCGGTCATTTGTTGCAACAACCATGTGTTCTGCTCCAGCTGTATTAAAGTCTGGCTGGAGAAGAGCAGTCAGTGTCCCACCTGTAGAGTGGCCATCACCCCAGAAAACCCCTGCAGAGAAATTATTGGTAAAGTCAACGCACTTCCTGGTCAAACCTTGCTGTTATTGAAATATGAAGCTCTTTTTGAATGTGATTAAATATAATTGAAGTAAAAATATTTAGTCTTCCTGTGAAATTTAAATTATTTTATAATATTTCCCAAGTGCTGTTTAACGTAGACACTTTTCGCCCTCTGCTCTGTTAAACATCACTTGGGAAATATTTGGAAAAAGAATACAAAAATTCACAGGAGGGCTAATCATTTTGCCTTCAACTGTATGTTTCTTCATGTTTGACAGTGTGTGTGTGTGTGTCTGTCTGTACGCTCACAGGAGCCACAACCGATACTGACTCCAATGAGAGCAATTCTGTAAAGAGACGCCTCCGAAAGACTCGAGGGGAGCTGCTTTTACGAGAATATGAGGTACTTTTGCTCAAACACCCAACAAATTTATCGTTTGTTTTCTTTGTTGACGTTTCTAGTGTAGGGTAGCCTTCATTTACAATTCTAGGTCCTGGAGTGCCGGTGTCCTGGAGAGTTTAGCTCCAACCCTAATCAAACACACCTGAACTAATCAAGCTCCTACTAGATATACTAGAAACTTCCTGCCAAGTGTGTTGAAGCAAGTTGGGAGCTAAACTATGCTGGACACCGGCCCTCCAGGACTGAGTTTGGACACCCCTGACCTACATCCAATGTTAAAAACCAGTGTAAGCATAGTGTGAAACGTTACAAGCATTTAACCACTTCCAGAGGTAGTCATAAATGCATTTGACTGGATTACTTTCATATTTTGTCACTTATGTGGTTGACTGTGTTCAAACCACTTAAAAGACAAGATTGGAATATGGGAAAAAGTGCACCAAAACAAGATTTCATTTTATTTGTAGTAACAAAACATCATATCACAACCATTTTCATTGACTTTTTTGTTCTTTCTTGTTTACCCCCAAGCCAAATAAGAGATTTCCCTCCAAAACCAGTGAAGAAAATATGCAAAGTTTATATCCTTATCTCCACACATTTGATTTACTTTAATTAGTCTTTAAGACATGTGTTGCCCAGTGTGCAAATTACAGGGGGATTTTTGGAGGAATTGACCCCCCTAATTAACACTTGATCCTCCTGAAGAAGGACAGAATAAGATGTATGTGCGGTTCAGCCCTTTAATAGTGAGAACTAGTTATGTTTTATCTGTACCTTAAATAATAATATTAATAATTAACATAATAGATAATGTGAATATACATTTGACCACCCCTATAATGGTTCATACCATTGCATAATTGCACCATTCCGTCTATGCCAGAAAATATTCATTCAACATTCTGAAACTGGCAGATCTAGAACACCGATAGACATCATAAGTATTTACAAGACATTTCATTCATTCATTTTCCTTTAGCTTATTCTCTTTCCGCCACAACAAAATGAACCACCAACTGTTCCAGAAGATGCCCTTCTAGCTGCAACCCAGTATTGGGAAATGCCTATACACAATCATTCACACACACACTTGCACACACTCATACACAACGGACAATTTTGTTTACCCCATTCACCTATCTGCATGTGTTTGGACTCTGGGGGGGGGGCTTTGGCGGAGCACCTGGAGGAAACCCACGCCAACATGGGGAGAACATGCAAACTCCACACAGAAATGCCAATTGGCCCAGCCGGGACTCGAACCAGCGACCTACTTGCTGTGAGGCGACAGCACTAACCATTGAGCCACCGTGCCGCCCTTAACAAGACACATTTCTTGTAAAATAGAAGTTTGTGACTACACATACCTAAAAATAAAGTCAAATTATATGCATAGTGTGTCTAGTTTGTCTACAGTAACCTTTGAAATGGCTAATCAGAGGTTACTGTAGGTCAGAATACATTAAACATCCTTCAAAACACTGAAAACCTAAATACATTTTACTAATAAATCAGATGTTATTTAAATAAATACATACATTTGATTCACTGAAGCATGTATTACACAAACTAGTATTACCCTGATCATCAGTGTATATTTCTGACCCTGGTGTTAACACAATATGCATATGACAATTATTTCTAGGACTGAAGTGAAAGTCAAGACTAAGATTTTTCATTGAGCTTATAAATCATCTGTCTTGCAGGATGAAATCGAAACCCTCCTGAAAGAGAACGAGGACTTGAAAAGCAAAAACCTGAGCCTTGAGATGCAACTCAAGACGGCTCTGGAACCGAGCGCAGTGTTGGTTCCTCTGAGTGAAACCAGCTCTGTTGACCCGAGCGCTCTGCAGGAGTCGGCCAATAAGCTGAGAGCTGCCAACGACCTCTGCAGGAAGGTCAAACAGGACCTCGAGAGACTCAGAGAAGTAGGATTGATGATAAACTCTGACAATCTCCATTTGTTTTGTTTGTAATTAAGCCGTTTTGAGATGACCTGCACCGACTGTGACCACTTGCCACAATTACTACTATTTTTTTAGAATTATTATTTCAAATATTAAATAGTACATTCTAAAATGAAAATGTTTATTAGCGCTGCCAAAATGTGTTAGATAGAGAATTAGTTGGTTAGTTAGTTAGTAGGGCTGCACTATATTGGGAAAATCTGACATTGCGATATTTTGTTTTGCGGCGATATATACAGTTGATGTGAGAATTATTCGCCCCCCTTTGAATTTCTATTTCTTTTTAAAATATTTCCCAAATGATGTTTAACAGAGCAAGGAAATGTTTACAGTATGTCTGATAATATTTTTTCTTCTGGAGAAAGTCTTATTTGTTTTATTTCGGCTAGAATAAAAGCAGTTTTTAATTTTTTAAACACCATTTTAGGGACAATTATTAGCCCCTTTAAGCTATATTTTTTTTCTCGATAATCTACAGAACAAACCATCGCTATACAATAACTTGCCTAATTACCCTAACCTGCTTAGTTAACCTAATTAACCTAGTTAAGCCTTTAAATGTCACTTTAATCTGTATAGAAGTGTCTTGAAAAAATTTACAGTAAAATGTTATTTACTGTCATCATGACAAAGATAAAATAAATCAGTTATTAGAGACGAGTTATTAAAACTATTATG